TCTAAAGCTCAGAATCTCTTAGCCATTAGGAAAACAATTGAGAACAGCAAGAAGGACTTGACAGATTTAAGGTTTTAATCAGATTATCTTACTGCATGAGCCCTTTTGTTCAAGACAGTTATATTTTAGGAAATCTGTTTATTCTTAAGTTACCTATAACAGTTATTATTTTTCTGAAAGACCAGATTCTTTAGAAGTTGTCAATATATTTAATTATCACAAAAGAGACCTAATTGTGTGTATTATGAGCTACAATTCACATGTCTATGAATGGAAATTTTTCTTAAATTTTTCATACTTCATGCTTCAGGAGAAAATTGAGGGAGATTTAATTGAATTTGGGGCATTTATTTTGAATTCCTATAATTAAATATCAAGAATCTAGATATTTCTTACTCTTAAGTTTCAAAATTCTAAATAATATCATATAAATCAGCACATTATCTTTTTCTTATGCCCTTTTCTTTAGTATAAGAGAACATTGTTAGAAAAGTAATATAGCATTGCTTGAAAAAAGCAGTGATTTTTATATAGCATTACATTTTCTTTTAGTGAGTGAATTATGACCTAAATATCCCTAATTCTGGCATATTCACACCAAATATTTATACATATTTTCTTTGAGTTATAATTTTTGTTATTATCAATAAGACAGTGACACTTTTCAAAATTGTTTGAGATCATTGGCGAGAGTTTCCTCCCACATTTTAGCACTGAGCACTGTCTTAAAATGATCTGGATTAAAAAATGAGACTTAAACCTACAAAGACTGTGATTACTGTAAAGAGCCAATCTTTTCTTGACAGCGGGATAGTTAATTCCATAAAAGGAAAGATAGCATAATACATCCAGTATATGCTACATATAAAACAGAAATGCAAATCTGAACTTTATATCTCAGGTATCAATGAACAACCATATTTAATTTTCTTAAAACCGTCGAGTTTGAATATATTTAAACACTGAAATTGCCTAGCATTTCAATTTATCTCACCTGCATGATAGAGTTTCTGTATATTAGTACTATTTTATTAGATGAATTCTTAATTCTTTTTTTGTTGTTGTTGGTCATGGGGCTTTAGCTTTAACTGTGGGCTTGTGTGCTATCTTTCAGCTCTTCAGCTCAAGGCAAACACTACCACTTGAGCCACAGTGCCACTTCTGGTTTTCTGGTGGTTTATTGGAGATAAGACTCTCACTGAATTCCTGCCCAGGCTGGCTTTGAACCATGATCCTCAGATCTCAGCCTCCTTAATAGCTAGGATTACAGGCATAAGCCACTGGAGCGGGCTCCTAATTCTTAAATTTATAAGTCTGGGGCTTTGATGTGCAAGTGAATAGAATCAGGAAGAATAGAGACAGAGAAAAGGAACATTTTGTTTAAGGCTTTTTGTCTTTGTATTACAAAATAAAATCTTCCAATACTTTGATAAGTAAGCCTGCTATATAATAAATATGCTTAGTTGCCAAATTTTAAATGGCCAACCTATTTTCACATAGTTTAAAACTTTTAGCCACTTTAAATAGATCTCTAATTAATTCAGTAGGCATCTGAATATATCACTGTGTATTTGACAGAAGAAATCTTAGACAGACATCTAACAGCTTAGAGTTGAAGAGAATATTTAAATCAGATGATGAAAATGTGCAACAACAGAAGTAAAAGAGACTTTTTAAAAGTTAAATGTAACATCTAAGCATACATCTACGGCAAATTTTCTATCATTCACACCTTTTTTCAGGCATATTTGAGTGTTTCTACTTCACTTCTAATACAAATGTAAACTCACCACCAAATTTTACAGTTACATCAAGCTTATATGTTTAATTCTTTACTCATAAGTTTATCTTATCATCTTGTTATATTTCTTTGGACTTTTAGTCATCTGGAACAAATTTCTCATGTACTTTCCTTAACTAAAAACCTTCTAAAAAACCTTCCTCCCCATCCTGTCATGCAATTTTACTAATTTCAAACAATAGTGCACTGATAATAATTAACCATCTTCCTTTCCCCCCTTGTTCGAGATTGGCAAACATTTCTTTTAAAGTGTCTCATGTTTATTTTTAAAAATGAGAAACGAATTCACAAATTTTTGGAGGGTCCAGTCGTGGGGCCTGACTTCTGGGCCTGGGTGCTGTCCCTCAGCTCTTCAGCTCAAGGCTAGCACTCTACCACTTGAGCCACAGCACCACTCCTGGCTTTTTTGTTTTTGCTTGTGTGGTGCTGAAGAATCAAAACCAAGGCCTCAGGCATGCAAGGCAAGCGCTGTACCACTGAGCCACTTTCCCAGCCCAAATTCACAAAATTTTTAAGAATGGAAAGCAACTAAATATATCAGAGTGTAATGTTGAGGTAATGCAACATTATTAAGATTAATGGTTTGTGTGTTTCATCAATGAAAATGTCTTCTTTGGATGCACATGGGCCCTTCCAAATTTTCTTATCAATCCATGACTATGCTATGTTAGTTCAGTACGTAACAAATATATAGCTATATATATATATCAGTATATATACACATACACATATAAACATATATTTATGTACTAGCTTGTTTTCTTGAGTTTGCCCCTTATATCATTATACAGAAGATGAATCATTTTCAACTAAAGTGTAGAAAAAATATTTTAGTCACATATTTGTCACAACTCATTCCATCTTTTGATTGTGTGTGGGACAAAGATTTTGCTTCTTGTTTTAATTTTTGACTGGAGTACATAAAGCAATTCAACATAACTTGTTATTTGAAAGAAATTTTCAGTTGTTATATGAATTCATTATAATATATCTTTCATATATGAGCAATTTTACTTCTTGCTTGTTTTTTGATTTATTAAGAGGCTTCAAGTTTTCAGCAAAATATAATCTCCACATGATTGTGTAATAGTAGCCAAGATTAATGTCAGTAAATAAAATTTTCAATCCTATCTTGAGCTCAAAAAAATTCTGCAATACTTCATAAGCCATCCCTCTGATTATTTGGTAGGATAAGTTAAAATATGCAAAATGTTCAAAACTTTGCAAAGTCACAATGATTCAGTTCATAAAAGTAAATAAAGTTCCACATTGACATTAGTAATTCAATAACACAAGATTAAGCTCTTTTGCAGAATCTTTTGATAAGTAACATTGTAAATAGCCATAAGCATTGAAAACTTCATGTTTTATAAGCTTGGTTTTGTTAAATTGAATTTCTTTCCATCACATATATTGTTTACCATCCATCATTAATAATGATCATTAGCAGATTTCATATCACATATCATGTTTAGTTAATCAGGGATTTTTTGGTTACTTTGAAAATATTCTTGCTTGTTTGTTACATGAGAACTATTTATAGAGGCTAATCATGTAGTTGTTTCAAACTGGACATTACTTCTTCACATAAAGAACAAGTGTTCATTGTTGATTGCATCTGTTAACTCATGAAAAGACAAAGAAACCCATTCTAAATAATCTCTTTCTTTGTGTATTCACTTTTGTAGTTGTTATCAATGTTCTCAACTTTTTTGAGTAAGTGTATTTGCCAAAAGGTTAATCTTAAGTTTATTTTTTTTCTGGAAACATTTCTTCATTTGCTGTAAGCAAACATGTTTTCATTCGCTCACCATCATTAAATAGCTTTCTTTGGCTAGCTAACAAGTAGGCCTTTCAAGAACTTGCTTGAATTACAACTTATTATTTATGATATTTTTCATGAATAAACTTTGCTATGATAATGTTCTCTTTTAACCTTCTATTTCTTTTAGTTGTTAATTTCTTATAAATCAGAATATTATGTTGGTGATTGATTTTGGTAATATTAATAAAAATTGTTCATATTGTTTTATTTGTTTAAAAGCTTTCCTACTCAATTACCTTTAATCTCAAACTTTTCTTCATTTCTCATGTTGACTAATGACCGTACATTAGAATAAAAATAAAGAAAGAAGAAATAGGGGGTAATGCAAACAAGAATTCAATGTATATAATACAAAATTAAAAAGAATGAGGTAAGGGATAGTTAGAGGAGTGATGTGTGAGAATGTTGAAAGGGGTGACATTGATCAACTGCATTGTATTAATAAATTTCTTTGTTAAATAGCAATAATTTGCACATCTACATAATTTTTAAAAACAGCAAAAAAATAAACTCTCATGGTGACATGGCACCTAAAAACTTTGTCACATAGTAATGATGACACTTGATTTCGTATTACACTAAGCAACAGCATAAAGTGCGAAAAATGTGACATGGATACTGTGATACAACTACTCACCTCTGCTATAAGAATCCAATAGTCACTTATTTGGATTTGGATTTTCTCTACTACATAATAACACTTCTCTTTTCAAGCATCGAATGATGGTTTAACCAAACATTTACTACACATCCTGATAGCAACTATAAAGAAATGTGCATCATGTATCTACAATATTTTAAAAACAATGTATACTTTGTTTTTAAATAAATTTATTCAATTGCAGATATCATATTTCATTATTATGGGTTGGTAGGTGAGCACTTGCATACTTGTTCATATTATATTTTAATTGTTCAATATGGAAATAATTTATACAGAATATAGTAAATTTGAGTGTACAACACATAGAAGATAGGTTTAAATTTGTAACCATGATACAAACACAGTGTTTAAAATATTGCACTGTAATTCTTTTCAGCTTCATTGAATTAAATATTTTACATTGTCCTTCACAATTTGACCATATATTTAATTGAATAAATAAATATAATATTATATGCTAGTTTCATAAGAAAGTAATCTCTTTTTCTACTTTCTTTTAAATATTCCATGCAGGATGTCTCAACACTCAATACTCTGTTTGTGTAGAATATTTCAACACTCAATACGCTATTTGCTAAATAATATATTGTCTTAAGAGGGATTATTTTTAAAGAATTTTATCTATATACAATGCTTCTTCTGACATTTACTTGGGATTTAATTACAACGAATGGCATATGAATATTTATTGTTTTTTCCTTTTTCTAAAGCAAATGAAGGAGGTGGTAAGATCTCGCACTCCCATGAAAGAATCAATGACTGTGGAGATTTGGACGCATCCTCAACCACAGGTACAAATAAGAAATCCTTTTGTACCTTTCCTCCCTATTTTTTTTTTGGTGGGGAAGTTCAAACTTGCCCTGTTCAATATCTGAATCTGCTGAGATAAAAACATAACCGAAAAAACCAACAGAAAATACATAATACAGATTTAGTATTGTGCACATCTACCTGAGAACTATACAAATATTGAAAACTCAGATTAAAGGGTGCTTGCAGTTTAATTACCCTCTTCACATCAAGAGAAAAATAGAGAAATTATAAGTAATTTTAGAATGATAGAAATGATATAAGTAATTTTTAGAAGAAGAAGAAAAAGAGGAGGAGGAGGAGGAGGAGGGGCGGGGAGGAGGGAGGGGAGGAGGAGGAGGAGGAGGAGGAGGAGGAGGAGGAGGAGGAGGAGGAAGAAGAAGAAGAAGAAGAAGAAGAAGAAGAAGAAGAAGAAGAAGAAGAAGAAGAAGAAGAAGAAGAAGAAGAAGAAGAAGAAGAAGAGAAGAAAAAAGAAAAAGAAAGAAAGAAAGAAAGAAAGAAAGAAAGAAAGAAAGAAAGAAAGAAAGAAAGAAAGAAAGAAAGAAAGAAAGAAAGAAAGAAAGAAAGAAAGAAAAAGAAAGAAAGAAAGAAAGGAAGGAAGGAAGGAAGGAAGGAAGGAAGGAAGGAAGGAAGGAAGGAAGGAAGGAAGGAAGGAAGGAAGGGAAGGAAGGACAAAAAAAGAAAGAAAGAAAAGACAAAAAAAAAAGAAGAAAAAGAAAGAAGAATTGATCCCAAAAATGAAATTTCAGTAAGCCTTTGGGAAGTGATCAAGGTACAGGAAAATGCGGAGAATAGCACAGCCCTACAAAGGTTGTCATATTATGCAGTTAGTCTTTAAAATCCTCAGAATGGTTAGCATATTTTGTGTAAATGAGTAGAGAAATTCCAGTCTTCTCTCCTTTTGTGTGTGGGTGTGTGTGCCAATATTAAGGATGAGCACAGGACCTTATGCCTTAGCTTGGCATTTTTTGCTCAAATTTAACATTCTACTACTTGAGCCATACCTGTACTTACAGCATTTTTTTGCTGGTTAATTGGACATAAAAGACTCATGGACATTTCTGCTCCAGCTAGCTTTTAACTGTGATCAGATTTCAGTCTCTAGAGTAGCTAACAGTGTAGGTGTGACCCATCAGCACCTCTCTTCCATTTCCATTTCTGAGTTAATCTTCCCTGGTTAATGAAGTTTTATAAAGGAATCCAAGATAACTGCAATTTTTGGAAGAACTTCTTTAAAAAGTTAACAGAACTGCAGAGAGTCACTTATTAAACAGAGACAAACATGTGAAATGAGAAACCTTGATCTAAGGCCTTCCAATTTCCTTTTAACTCCTGGTATTAATTCAAACATCTTTTTGGATAATATTTTTCAGAACCTCAAAATGTTTAAATTATTATTAACATATAAAAATATTTAGTATTTTCCCATGTGTGTTCCATGAAGTTTTTTTTTTCTTTTCTTTTTTTTCTTTTTTCTTTTTTGCAGTCATGATATTTGAATTCTGGGACTAAGCACTGTCCCTCAGCTCTTCAGCTCATGGCTAGGACTCTGCCACTCGAGCCGCACCATTTTCGGTTTTCTGGTGGTTTATTGGAGATAAGAGTTTCACGTATGTTCCTGCCCGGGCTAGCTTTGAATTGTGATCCTCAGATCTCAGCCTCCTGAGTGGCTAGGATTCCAGGTGTAAGCCACCGGTGCCCAACTTCTTTGGGTATTTTAGTGTTGGATTCTAGTACTGAAAATATAACAGTAAACATTTGCTTATTTCTACTGTTTACTAATAATGGAGTTAGTTTAGTTGTAGGATCAGGGGCATTCATTTATCTAAAAGTATCGTATAAACAATTGACGATTCCCTGAAATTTTAAATGTATTTCCAGGATTAAAGATTTTAAAAATTGAGATGTGTTATTTTGTAATATGACATAAATTTAAGGTTTACGTGTATATAGTGTGATTTCATGCTAATTAAACAAGTTTTTGTAACACCATGAAAACTAGTTCATAAGAAATCCAGTTTGAATATGTTTTTTTCAAAATTAAGCAATGAAGTATTTTTAAAGAAACTATTTTTATGCATTTCAATCAGAACAGACAAAAATGTGGTGAACAATGCTTACAAATTTGTTTTCCCAGTACAGAATCTAAGGGCACTTTAAAAAAGATTGAGGTCTACAGTATTTTCACAATAAAAAAAATTAAAATTAAAAAAAAAATTGAGGTCTAAGAAGGTGGCTCAGTGGTAGAGTGCTTGCCTTGTATGCATGAGGCCTTGGCTTTGATTCCTCAGCACCACATAACCAGAAAAAGCCTTAAGTAGTGCTGTGGCTCAAGTGGTAGAGCGCTAGCCTTGAGCTGAAGAGTTGAGGGACAGTGTTCAGACACTACAACCAACAAAAATTAAAAAAAATAAATAAAAATAAAGATCGAGGAGACAGATTGTGTAAATATTTCCATTATATTTGATATTGTATGTCTAATTATTTTACTACTTAAGGTAAATGTCTCTTATCTCATAACTTAGGTGCAAATTATTATAAATTGTCTTCTATCTAGTTATTTTAAAATATCTTTTAGTTTTTACAAAGGAAATAATTTCAGAAAATGTAGATGCATGAAAGGACATTCACAGTTTTAGGTTAAAAAAGAATAGAAAAGGAGAATCACATTTGATTATTTATTTTTCATGTATTTTTCTAGAAATTATGAAAACCATGTGTTTTGCAATAATAAATTATAACTTTATGATAAAAACAGAATAATTAATGCACTCTAGAAAGAAGAAATTAATGTTATAAAGGTGAATTACAACCTGGAACCTGTGCAAGTAGTTATACATTTTAAATTATTCCAATACAAATTAATTTCTTCAACAAATTTCAATTTTGACTTTCATGTCTTATATTTATGATTCAGTCTCATGCAACTTATTGGTACAGAAGTTGAATTGGAGATGAACATAATATGACTTTTTGTATTTATATTTAAAGGGCATTGCATAATTTTACTGTTTATTAACTCCTTGATTGAGAAATTATCACAGCAGTCAAAGAAGAATTTTTTTAAATATACACACAATTATTTGTTTTCCTTATTTATTTGTACTGAGAACTCATGTATGCTAAGCAGACATTACATCACATATTGACACTTGTAGCCCAACACAATTTAAAATATATCCCTCAAGACTTATACATAGGGCCTATAATTATGGCATAAGATATGGCTGAGATAAACAGATGTAAGATGGTACTAGACATAGTTATGTGATATTTTATTGATTGAATTTATTTAACAAGACATAAAAATATTATATACTAAGAAGTCCCCCAAGGGACTGAAAAATAAACTCTTGTTTTTAGATTTGTGAAATTTTATTGTAAAATTGAGAGGTTATAGTTCCTTAAGTTAGGTAATGAGTATATTTCCTTTTGAATAGTGTCACTTTCTCCATCATGCTCTCCCAGTTTTACCCTCCCGACTTGCCTCCCCCCTGAAATTATATATTTCATTAAAAAATAAACTCATTTAATTCTCATTTCAAGCCTATACTTATTTTAAGCTTATTAGTATTTCCGTATTTTGTAGATATGAAAATAGGAGCACAAAACAATTAGAGTAAATACTAAAGAAACAATGCATACTGTTTGAGTCTGTCTCCAAACCTCATCTTTATAAAAACGTTGCAATAATTTCTCATCAAGAATGAATGGCAAGGGGGCTGGGAAGGTGGCTCCGTGGTAGAGTGCTTGCCTTGCATGCATGAGGCCCTGGATTCGATTCCTCAGCACCACATAAGCTAAAAGAAAAAAGCCGGAAGTGGTGCTGTGGCTCAAGTGGTAGAGCGTTAGCCTTGAGCTGAAGAGCTGAGGGACAGCGCCCAGGCCCAGAATTCAGGCACACGATCGGACCCCACCCCCCACCCAAAAAAGAATGAATGGCAAGAAACACAAGTGGTCCTGAAACAAACAATATTTTTTAATTTTTATTTTTTATTGTGAAAATACCATACAGAGGGGTTACAATTACATGGGCAAGGTAATGAGTACGTTTCTTATCAAGCATTGTAGCCTCCTCCTTTGTTTTGTTTCCCCTTCCCAGCCCTTCCCATCCCCCCCCCCACATGCATAACATCTTGTACATCTCATTGGTGCAATGGGTCCACCTGTATCATTATTTAACAATTTGTTTTTTCCCTTCCCCTCCACAAATTATACCAACATTAAATACAGTGAAAACAGAGGTTCCTCAAAAGACTCCACATAGAACTCCCCTATGACCCAGCAATCCCACTTTTGGGCATTTGCCCAAATGATCACAAACAAGACCATACTAAAGCTACCAGGAAATCTAGGTTTATTGCAGCATTATTTACCATAGCTAAGATATGGAACCAACCCAGATGCCCTTCAGTAGATGAATGGATCAAGAAAATGTGGTATATATACACAATGGAATTCTATGCCTCCATCAGAAAGAATGACATTGCCCCATTTCTTAGGCAATGGAAAGACTTGGAAAAAGTTATATTAAGTGAAGTAAGCCAGGTCCAAAGAAACATAAGTCCCATAGTTTCCCTTATTTGCAATAACTAGTGTATGTCTGAGACAAGCAGAAATGGTCAGATAAGTTGATGTTAAGGGAAATGAACCCCAAGTTAAGGACAAGAAATATTTTAAAAGGACTTTCCTGGTGTTATACTAATATGATTTTCTGTTCAGCCAGAAATATACCTGCATATATTTGTATATGATAAAGTAAGATGACCCTTTTATGATGTTCAAGTGAAAAGAACAAACAGACCCAGAAGAATATTATGTGTTGAAATAATCCTCTCAACTGCAGTTTTTAGAAATATTAAATCTACTATGATAGTCCTTAGTGAAAATTTTTTCAAGACAAGGAAGGCTAATTAAAAATAATAGAATGTGAGAGTTTCCACAGTTTTAAAGCAATACCTTCTAATCTTGGAATTGTTAC